GATGTGGTCCATGAGGTCGCGAAGAGTCGGACTCGACTGTGCGGCTGAACAACAACAATACCTCTTGGATTTCATAGTCTTTTATCCTGCTAGTTATTATTTCTGCTGACAAAGAGGGCTCAAGCCCATGAAAACATTTGCTTTAATAAATCTGCTAGTCTTTAAGACTCCTTTCTGTTTTTGCTGCAACAACTAGCCCTCCAGAGTTTGTAACCATGAAGTTACAAGTGAAGAGACAATTATGTACTTAGTTCTGAAAAATCAGAGCTGCAGCTGTATCTCCACTGAATGTAATCAGAAGAATTCAAAGTAAACAATTCCGCCTATCTAGCAGGATCCAGCTGTGAATCAGTTTGCATAAGTACAGCAACGCAGACTAGAAATAGTTTCAGTCTGAGAAACTAGGATCCTTTCTTGGGTAACCATGTTATTAGTTCAGCATCATATTTTACCGGATCTATACCTGCCGTATTTCAGGAAAAACACAAACTGGAGGTCTGGATCCTTCAATAATTGAGGTCATGCCTAAATTGCATATCTGGTGTTACAAACATTTTCTGTTTGAGCTCCATTTCAATACTGTGATCGCTGGTGGAGTTAAGTACACAGTTCCTATACCTGACCAAAACAACTTTAGTGAGAGACTATTCAGTTTGCTAGGGTATAACTCAGAGGCTTGGTATTCTACTTGCTGTGATTCTGGTGCAGTTGGAGTACAACAGCAGCTTATTGTTCGGTGGACCATGTTTTTAAAGGTGAAAGAAGCCAGTCAAATCCCTATGTCTGCAACCCAAGACTACACGAAAGGGAGATAGCTTTTAGTATGCAGAATTCCTCGGTATTGTGGACCTGGAAACTTAAATTCTCACTCATCCATGAACTCCTCTGTACAGCTTTGGGCCAAGGAGACAGCCCACCACCTTGGTTCCCCCATCTGCAACTCTGGAACATTCTTGATCTACCTCATGCTATGAGGCTCCATGAGAGGCAGTGCCTCTGCATAACAGAAGTGCACAGAAATTGCAGCTATTCTAGGAACAGTAGGATTTAGACATTATTAGTTCAGCAGCAGATTATTCAGATTATATTAGCTAAGAAGCTGTTACAAACACAAAAGAGTGATATGAATGAAGGGGGGCAGTGAAACGGCAAGTGGGACATAGGAACAAGGAAGACTGATGCTTGGGAAGATATACACGGCCACAGAATCCAGGAAATGAGGACAAAAATAGGGGAGCTGTGGAGTTAAGGAATAGCTGGAGGACAAGGAAGGCTAAATTCATGGAGAAGATATAGCCTGTCTGTATGAGTAAGGATGAAACATGAGAAAGTCAACGAAACAGGGTGGTCTAGCTGTTTTTTTGCTTCATTAAAGCTCGAAGCAGGGGTCTATAGGGCCCGGGGAAAAAATCGGTATTTTGGTTCAGGGATCTATTGGGCACAAACATTTTTTCGGCCTTTTGGTATAACCGGTACGTTATTCGGATCCAGGCTTTTTTGGAAATCCCGAATCTTTTTGGTCCAACAGACCCAAGGAAAAAAAATATTGTATTAAAAAAAAAAAAGCCAGCCCAATCCTGGGGATGACTTGGCTTCTCCTGCACCACATTTTAAACTGCACCACAGAAGGAGCCAGACCCAGGATCTGTGTGCCTCAGGGAGATCGCTCCCTGAAGCACACAGATCCTGGTTGGGAGGGCTTCTCCTACACTGGGCTGCACGAGAAGCCAGCCCCAGGCTGAGCCGGCGGGAACAGTCTGCTCCCCTCGGCACAGCTGATCCTGATCTTCGGTCTGTCTTCTTTAGTCCCTTTAAACTTTAAAGGGGATGCAGTAGAAGCCTGACAAACAGCTCTGAGAGGCGGGGCAATCTGCTCCTGCCTCTCCTCTGTTTTCCGATCTACCAGTAATTCCCAAATATATCTGGTATTTTCCCCCTGGTTTTCCCAAGAAAACCCAAATACACTTGGGAAGCGTTTATTTTTTTATATTTTTGGTTCTGGTAGACCCCTAGCTCAAAGAGATCATATAAAGTTACAGTAAAGCTCACATTCTTAGTTGCAGGTTAACGAAGCTTCAGGGGAAGCGGTTATTTGGGAGTTGCTAGAAAGACAGAACCCCCACACAACTATCATTTTAATACAGTATCCCAAGTTGCTAGACAAGTATTCAGTCTCTTAAGCATATGGTTCTCTAAGCCAGATCTACTGCAAAGCTCAAGAAAGCAGGTGCAAAGGCAGCTCTTAACACCTACATCTTCATCTGCTGATTTCCTATTAGAGAAAAAAAAAATCAACCCACTGTAAAATGAAGTCTGCTCTTGTTGGCAAAAGCAAGCGCTTGATCTTAGAAAAATGCCACCACCTTGGACCACGCAAGATTCTGCTACAATACTGTCTTCACACACACACACAGGAGAAATTTAATCAGGGATTTCAAGTGCCAGAGCAAACCTCTTTGTGGTATGCCAGGATGTCATCCAATACTGATGAGAAAGGAAATCAGGCTGATTCAATGCCAGGCTGAAAGGCTGGCAGCAGAAAAGGATTAAAACACTAGATTACAGGGTTTCCCTCTAGAGACACATGTTACTGTAACTCATTTCCTGACCTCCAGCCAGTCCCAATTCCCCAGGAAGCTGGCCTACGTTCACGGCAAGGTTGATCAGTGCAATCCTCAACAGATTAACAGTATTTGTCCAATCCTTTTTAGAGATATATCACTTATGACCATTTCCCCCACACTGCATCACTTCCTTGCACAAAACAGGGTGTATGGAAGAGAAATTTAAAAACTCAGAAGTCAAGAGGTCAATACTAAAAGGAACTGAGAGGGAACAACCTTCTCTAAAAGACGGAGGAAATATGTAGATGGTTTTAGTTATGAGTTTCATCGAGTGGGTTTGATAGTGTCGGCCATTTAACTGTAATGTTTTACACTGTTTCTGGGGATCATTTTGAGTCGAAAGGTAAAGTAGAAATTATGTATATACCACTGAATATCAGCTAAGGAATGCAACTAAACATTAATACTTGAAAAAAGCATTGCAAGATGTTAAATATCATTATCAAATATCCAGTAAATATTTGGTTTCAGGATCCCCAGAGAATTTGAGGAAGCAAATGCCTTTCAGCTTTAGCACAGTTTTGCCACATTGTTCTATTTCTTGCTTTCTTCTTCAGGGAAGTGCACAGAAAACAGAATGTGTGAAGAGGCCCTAAATGTGCATCCAGACTGGCAGCTTTTTGAATGATTAATACTGCTGATATTCACATGGAAAGGCAGATTCCACACTGTACAGCATGATGATTCACGGCATTACACATTTTTCTACAAAGACATGTATCAAGACACATAAGCTTTTGTATAATCCTCTGAGTTCCTTTGAGTTTAAGGCAAGGTGATATTAAGAGAAAGTGACCCCATCAACAAGCAAGAGCAAAATCCCTGGTTACTCATACCAGTAAGGCAAGCCTGACTTCTAGGGATCAAGTATCACTTGACCTGCTCATGCTCCTCAGTGTTAAGAGCATTCCTTGGCTGCCATAGTTTGTTTCCTTGAAGTGTCCTCCTTTGACCAGAGATGGGTGGGGGGTACACAGCTTGAATACTTTGTCTCGTGTCCCTCAAGCTAGTGTTCAAGACCAGCTGCAAACTTAAGCTCTGGTATTTAGAGGAACTGATTTGGACAGAAGTATTTCAATGTTCCTCACTGCTGTCCAGATTCCCTGTTCTCCATTTTAGACGTCCTTTTTGGCACTTTTAAACGGCAAGTTTATTTTGTTGCCCATATTGAACACACAAAGCTGCCTTATACTGACTCAGATCACTAGTCTGTTGAGGTCAGTTTTGTCTCCACTGACTGGCAGCAGTTGTTCAGTCTCTCAGATGGAGGTTTTTCACATAACCTACTACCTAATCATTTCAACTGGAAAACCTGGGATCTTCTGCATGCAGGGCAGATATTCTAATATCCCCACTTGCATTCATCTAGGCTCAGCCAATTTCTTCTGCTTCTTCTATTAGGTATAAGGTAACCTACATCCCAAACCTAAAGACTACGAAAGAATGCTCTGCAGCTAGAAACTGCTTCATAATTCAACAATTGGTATGGAATTTTAAGGCCTTATGACGGCAACTCTGTACATTCAGTGAATGACTTTGTGATTTTAGAAGGAAATGGTTGCATGGGAATGGGGTACAGGAATGCAGAAATATTCGTTTCTGAGCTGCAAGATCCAACAATGAAATGAAATAACATGCAAGAGCAGCCTGGGTATGTTACACCCTCAACAGTGTCTTAGGGTAACTTGACTGAGAAACTTTCAGAAGGATAAACAGTTCAAGTTGAAGGCTCAGTGCAAATATTAATATTAAATATCTATTCAGAAAGAGAATTTCAAACATCTCAGCTGTTTCCACATACTGAGAATTTCAATGTTAGCAGTGAGAACAGATGAATTTAGTATAGGAGAGAACATAAAAGCAGACTGATAGCATTCATGTGTGCCATTAAATGGCAGCCGAAGTAAAAAGGGCAACATGTTAAAAAGAAATAAAATCTGAAGAGTTGGTACAAAGACCAGACAGTATTCCACATGTGACAATTCTGCCTCCCTGGCAAAATCATCAGCTAGGATGACATTCTCCAAATGCCTTGAACAAGATCCTCTCTCAAGTCCCCCTGCCAAGTTTCTGTCAAGAAACCTCAACTTTGTATTCTCCATCCTTCAGTTCAAAGTCCCCCTTAAAGGCATCAGAGATGAAGCCAAGGGATGCTGCCCATGACATTATATGGATATCTGAAGTGAAGCCTTTTTGTGGCATACCTAGACACTGTAAAGGGAAGGGAAATGTGGCATGGAGATTTCAGTCTTGTCCACACACACCCAACCCTCTGAGATCCCTTAAGGCACGTCAGAGGTGCCCCTGATTACACTCTTTGTTTTTCTATCTGACACAAGAATGTTGGAGGCAAACGCATGGCTCTTCTGTACTCACCAGTCTGTAGAGTCTGCTTCCCCCCTGAGAGGACTCCTAGGGGAAGAGTCCCTGTAGGTGTCAGGCCTTTGAGAGTCAGCACGCTCTCGCTTTCCTCTCTGAAAAAGGGAGAAACGAATCAGTTAGTCCCAGTGTACAAACACATAAATCATTTTAGGGTATCTCCCCACATAACATTTCCTAGCGTGTACATTCCAAAGTTTATTTATTTTAGATTCAGATTCAGACACCTTTAATAGCATAGTAATATAGTAATGATCCATTAAGTTCCAGCACATAAATTTAGACAATAAGTTGTATATATTATGTAAAAAAACTGCATCTAAGTGCAACTGATTCTGCTAAGAATTTTGTAGCCATAATTGTGGTCTCAGTATTAGCACCATTTAGAAAATGTTGAACAGTTCTAGATTTATTAGAAAATAAGCATGGTCGAAGGGGTAAAACTTTCATATATGAGGATATGTCCAGTTGCAGTCCAGAATAATGGGAAATTGAATCTGGGACCATACTGGAACATTTGCAGAGTCTTTCTTGAGGGGGGTGTTGTTAAATCGACCCCACAATATATTTGAGGGAAAGACGTTCAGCCGAGCCAGCATAAAGGCTCTACGATGGGAGGGCAGGCTGAGGTTGTGTAAATAATGGGCCATTTCGCCATGTTGGATTGAGAGGTTAAGATGAGCTTGTGAATAAATATGCAGGTGTACAGGGCAAAAGTTTTGCAATTCTAAGTCAAACAGTCTTTGTCTGATAGATCGAAAAATCAAGGATTCGTCCATTTGGAAAAAAATAATTGGTCGAAAAGCCTATTTGATTTTTTTTCTTCTATTTTTAGAAACCAGGTGGGACAGTGTATATCATTTTTAAGCATGAAATTAGATAGTTTGGAGAGGCTCTAAAATGAATTTTGAGCCAGTATTTAAAGGTTAATACCCAGACTTTTGATTGAATGAGATGTTGGCCCAATTCTAGACATATGGCGAGTGTGACACACATCTAGGGACACCTAAGAATTGGCGAAAACATTTCTCTTGAATGCGCTCAAACTCGTTATTAAGTGTCCTTATCCATACCGAACAACCAAAGAGTACCTGAGGAAGCACTTTAGTTTTGTAAATTTTTATTGCTGAAGTGATGTATTGGTTTCCATTAATGAAGAAAAAATGTTTAAGTTGGGAGATAGATTCACCTGGAAAATTGATCTGGTTTTCTGTGTTGTCCAATTTAGGTTATGCTGAAATGTTACCCCTAAATATTTGAAAGTTTTGACCTGTTCAACTTCTGTATTATATATATTCCACCCTCCCCGTGATTGGGCTCTGGGTGGATAACAACAGCAGTTTTACAAAGTCATTAAAACAATTATAGTAATTAAATAGTTAAAACAATTAAAACAAAAAGCCACAATAATTTAAGACAGGTAGCACTATAACTAGAAAGGTGTAATAATCTCAAGTGACTGAAGCAGCTAGGCCATAACTCCCCAAATATGGGAATCTTCTTAGCCCTGGCCCTGGTCAAGGCTAAGCAGATGTCCTTTGGGCCGGGGACAACCAGCAAATGCTGGTCTGCCAAGTGTAAAGCTCTCTAGGGCACATACGGGGAGAGGTGGTCCCTCAGATATGTTGGTCCAGGCTGCAAAGGGCTTTAAAGGTCAATACCAACACCTTGAAACGGATCTGGTACTTGATCGGTAGCCAGTGCAATTGGCGTAGCACCAGCTGAGTGTGCGCCTTCACAGACATCACAGTCAGCACGTGCACTGTCGCATTTGGTACTAGCTGAAGTTTCTGGATCAGCTTCAAGCCCGTGTACAGCGAGTTACAGTAAACAAGCCTGCAAGTGACCGTTGCATGGGTCACTGTAGCCAAGTCCTGGGGGGAGAGACAGCGAACCAGCTGCCTGATCTGCCAAAGATGACAAAAGGCAGACCTGGCAACTGTGGTGACCTGGGCCTCCATAGAAAGTGAGGCATCCAGGATCACCCCTAGGTAGGCTCCTCACCTTTGGGGCCGGCACAAGTGGTGTCCTGTCCAAGGCAGGGAGCCTGATTCCCGACTCAACTCCCCCTCAGCTCAGGTATAGGACCTCCATCTTCACTGGACTGATCTTCAACCAACTCTGCTGTAATCACCCAGCCACAGCCTCCAACGCCCTATCCAGATCCTCTGGGGCAGAGTCCGGGCAGTTGTCCAGCAAAAAATAGAGCTGGGTGTCATCAGCATACTGGTGGCAACCCAGCCCAACCCCCCGGACCAACTAGGCAAGGGGGCGTATGTAGATGTTAAAGAACACTGGTGAAAGGATCGCCCCCTGCAGCACTCCACATTCCAGTGGGTATCACGGGGAGACCGTCTCACCAAGTGCCACCCTCTGTCCCCAACCATAGAGAAAGGAGGAAAACCATTGTAAGGCAGTCCCTTATACTCCTATGTCGGCAGGGCGGTGATCGTCATCGACCGCGTCAAATGCCGGTTAGATCTAAGAGCAACAGCAATGCCAAGTCGCCCTGATCCAGGTGTCTCTGGAGGTCATCTGTGACAGCGACCAACACTGTCTTTGGAAACTGGATTGGAATGGATCAAGTTTGGGTGAACTGCTTAAAAAAAAAAAAGATATGCCTGCAGCAGTTGTGTTTGCAGACCAATGAACCATAAGGCACTCTCATAATAGAGCTGGGTTTTCTGTAGCTCCTTATCAAGCATGTACTAGTTGAAACTTGGATTGTTGTCATGTAGAGGGTGGGATGGCTTTTAAGCATCAGGTCTGCTGAGAACACCTGCACAAAGGATGTTTTAAAGACCTCTAGCTAATATTTATGCACCATGATTATCTTAAGGGTTATTTACAGCAGAAATCTTAACACTTTGCATTTATATAATTCTTTTCAAATGTTCAAGATGCCCCACATACAGGAGCTTGGAACTCTCCAAAATTTCTGTGGGCATAAATTTCTTCTTTGTATCTTAGAAATCCGGTTCTCACCTTCAAGCTATTTCTGGGGGTTCCCATCCCTCAGGAACAACATTTTGGGGGTATCTAGGCTGTCAAAGGAGAGGGGACTCAGTAAAACCACCACTCCTCCCTGTGTCTATGGAAATTCTATGTGGGATCCAAACCATCATCTCAGTAGTCTTCATAACAATACTATAAGGAAGGCCAGGTTATTCCTACAGTGCCAACAGGAGGTCAATACCAACAGAAAATAGTTTACTTAAGGCCACCCTGGCCCAAACACAAGAGAGAAAGATAGAGAGAAGCCAAGGAATATGGATCTGAGGCACCTCCCAACAACAGTGCACTACACTGGAGAGAGGACTGCACTATCATCATCAGAGAACTGCAGATTTAGGGCTTCACTGGGACACCAAGTACCTTACTGAGAAGACCAACACCCAACAAGTGGATCCTATAACCTATCCATTAAATATTCACCAGTGTCACTAAATCAGCCTCTGTACCAAAGGCCATGACAAGCAGCAACTTTAAACCAGTTTCTAAAAAAAGGGCCCAAAGCGGATCCAGGAAATTATAGGTCAGATAGCCTAATGCCTGTTCCAGGTAAATTAGCAGAAACTGATAAAGGCAGAATAAGCATCTAGAGGAACGAAGCTGGCTTCTACAAAGGGAAGTCCTGCCTCACCAGCCTTTGGAAGTTGTTTTGAGAAGCTTAACGTACATGTAGATAAGGGCAATGCAGTAAGACATTATATAAATGGACTTCCATACATGGAATTCCAAACAGTTTTTGATGATGTCCCTAACCAAAGACTCCTGAATAAACTTAACAGACATGGGATAAATGGGCAGGTCCTTGTGGATTAAAAACTGGCTAAACCGGAAAGCAGAGAGTAGGAATAAAGACAGTCCTCGCAATGGAAAGAAGTAAACAATGGGATCCCATAAGAATCAGTATTGGGACCAACGGTATATCACCAGTTCATAAGTGATCTGGAATTGGAGGTCAGCAGTATAGTGGCTGAGTTTGCAGAAGACACCAAATTATTCAGAATAGTAAAGAACAAGACAGATTGTGAACAGCTCCAGGAGGCTCTCTAAATTTAGTGGTCAACAATGTAGCAATTGTAAGGTAATCCACACTGGAGCAAAACAGCTAACTTTAAAAACATGCTGCTGGGGTATGAAC